TTCTAAATTTTTATTCTGTATTTAACCATTCATAACTTGGAATATATATATATATATATATATATAATCTAAATATTGAGTATATAAAATTATTAGCGCAATTACTGTGTAGAAAGTTGAGCTGAAAGTGAATGTAAACTGTTGCGACGGCTGCAAGAAGAAAGTCCTCAAAGCTCTGAACATAAAAGGTAATTAATCAATCAATTAATTACTACAAACTTCCTGATTAATTATCTTTAACCTCTGCCAAACAATGATTAATAAATTTTCTCCATCAATCTGTTCTAATCACCAGCCAAATATTAGATAAATTAGAGTGTGTTTGGAGCATTTGCAGTTATCCAGACAAGCAATTTATCCTGATAAGCTGCCGATCAACAGCTGATCCAGATAAATTAGATTACGATTTGATTTGTGTTGGTCAGCAGCTGATCCTGATAAGCTATGCCAAACAGACCCTTAGTCTTAATAACATGCATGTTGATTGATTTTATACCCTTAGTCTTAATAACAAGCATGTTGATTGATTTCATACTAGGCGCTCTGAGGACGGAGATCCATCCCACTCTTCCCAAGGTCACCATTACTGGAACAATAGACGTCGGAACACTCTTAAAAAAACTCAGCAAGTCCGGAAAGCCCTCAGAACTGCTTCACTTTGATTACATTCCTCAGTCTGCAGAGAAAGTTTTAAGCAATAACAGCACTGAAAGTATTACAGAAACTTCCAGAGAGCAGGTAGAGAACAGCAAGAAGAAGAAGAAGACGAAGAAGAAGAACAGTGATAGTATTAAAGTGCAGGTGGAGCAGAATAGTGAGAAGAAGGCTGAGATAATTATACCTGAAGTAAGGTGTTCGGTAAATCATGATACAGTGCCTGCGAGGTTTCATGTGCCGGAGGCTTTTCGTGCTCCGGCGCCCGGTTGTTCGATGGTGGAGGGGCCTAGCTTCGCGCGCCAGGAGTGGTGTAACTTTGGTGTGCCGACGGTGTATCATAACATTCCGCCGGAGGGTGGTGGCATAGCGGATTATTTTAATGATGAGAATACTATGGGATGCCATGTGATGTGAGGTGCTTTATTAACTTTTTATTTATTTTATTTTTATTTTTTATTTGTTTTAATTTCTTATCTAGAGCCGGTTTGAATTGTAACTTGATACCAAAATAATCTCTTATCTCGTGAGGCTAGATATCCATTATGGCTAAGGAATCTAAATGTACATACTTATGGCCCATACGACTTTGTTTGTTGTGACCTGACTACGGCCTTGACCCTGATCCTGACTCTGTCATAGACCCAAAAGCTTGCTCCTATGACACTTTCCCAAATCATAATACCGCTCCAAGGTGACATCGTCTGAGAAATTATTCCATCCGACGTCCACGTGAAATGTATGTCAATATGGCCGAACTCTCAACGTTGTCCCAACATGCTGTTCACTAAACAAAACATTTTTTTTCGTCATCGTGCTCATCATCCCCTTGATAGTCTTATTTGATAATTTAGTTTTTTTATTCAAATTTATTTCTTAATATTTATGAAATTAGGCAACATATTTATAATTTTAAATATTCATAATATCAATACATTTAACATGTTCATATTCATGTTTCTTATAAAAAAGAGCACAATTTTTTTTATGAAGAATTGCATACATACCTCTCAATTCCTATGTATGTACATATCTAAGACCTAATTTTAAGTTTTTATATATATGCCATCTTATTTATGTATAAAAAGATGCATTTCACTATTTTAAATATTAAAATAATAATATTTTTCATGTGATATAAGAGATTTGAGTGATATAAATATAAAAAGTAGAACATAGATTTTAGATATGTAAATACATAGTAATTAGTATATATATACATATATATGCTCTATTTTTCTTATTAAAAATAATATAATGATGATATTTACAGTACAAAAATTTTAGAGTGCGTAACGAACATTTCTTCCCCGCATCATGTTTTAGTTGTGGGGCCGCCAGAGCTAACCCACTCTTGCTGTTATAAAGTGCGTGGGCTATTCGTTCAAGACAAATGGAATAAAGCTAGCAGAGAAAAAAGGGAAGGTTATCTCTAATTTTAATATTTTAGGAGGCTCATGCTGAGAAAAAATAATAATAATAATGTTAGAATTTTAATTTATCGTGAATCACACTCAAAAAATAGAGTATAAGATGAGAGAGAGAAAAAGAAAGAGAGAGGGATAGGTGCACAAAAATGAGTAGTAATTTGATTCTTAATTAGCAATTTTTTTAGAAAATGAGCTTCCTATTTATATAGGAGGAGGGTAAAATATATGAAGTTATTCATTTCACTTATTTTTTTGAGGTCCTTACGGGATATTTTGGGTATTTTACTATTATAGTCATTCAATTCGCGCAAGATATGGCTAGATCTGCTGTGAATTGGCCTTGGATCGGTTTAGACCAGTTTATCCGACAGTGCTGAATTGGGTTTGCTGGTCGGTTTTTGATGGCCTTCATGTAGGTCGGACTTGGCTCAACCGGCTTGGATTTTCCGGTCAGTTATTTTAGTTCGGCTGTCGACTATTGATCCCTGGATGAGGAACTCTCGTATGCAGAGAAAGGCTAGGCTATTTAGCAGATTCACCGTAGATAGAGAAAGGCTAGGAAATCATACAGAGAGTGAATTAACGTAATTCGATAAGTAGCTCACTCCTTGATAAGACATTCATCCGCGATGGTCTATCGTGGTTTTGCCATGACAAGTTCCTGGACTAGCATTAGAAATCTCAAGAAAGTTTATGAGATGGCTAGTGATGATGAACTCTTCCTCTGAGTCGTGCTATGGTGAGCGACTGGACAGTGCCTGTGCTTAGTTTTATTGACAATAATCTTTGTTTTAAATTCTATGCATTCGATCGACTTTTAGCCTCGGTTCAGAGAGGCGATACTTAATCAGGTAGTAGAACTTTGGTCTTTTGTTTGTGGACCACTGGCCGTCAGCCCGTGGGCCCTTTGTCTTTCATCTGTAAGCCATTGATCTATCGCTTGTTGGACTTTGTCTTCCATCAGTGGGTCATGTTTAGCTTTACTTATTTGTACTTTTTTGAATTGGATTTCCTCCAGATTCTGATGACAAACTAATTTATAAAATTTTGGTAATAAATTTTTTCTTGGAGCCTTTACATCTATTGAATCCAAGATTGTCCGGGAAACATGCCCAAGGAATAGATTGTCCCATAGAGAGGGAGAGAGAGAGAGGGAGGGGAGAAAGACAATAATGAACACTAGAAAGTATGTAATCCTTCTATTGAAAAGTAACCCCCTATTTATAGACATAGGGGTATGGATGTTGGAAACACAAGTTTGTCCTAATCATTAATTTTTGAGGGGATTCCTTTTGTACATAACATATGTAAGATATATTAAACGACAAGTGGATTCATCCGATCGACATGGGTTCCGATGATCGGTAGCTATGCATATGATCGTTTTCCCATTATTCACCTCGTGGGCTTTAAGTCGATCGTCATGTCGTAGTTTGATCAGTTTTCTATAGGTCAATCGTTATAACTTTAGGTGACTCGATTCTTAGGCTTACTTTTGAGGGAACTTTTCTTGCCCTAAGATTGTCAACCGATCAGCTGATCCTTTCATCCGTCATCATTTCACTAGGTCGTTGGATTGTTCTGAGATTCATGATGACATACTTTTCGTATATCGATATGTACGACTTATTTCTTATGTATTTATATATTTAACACCTAACATTCACATTTATGTACACACTAATCAATTCTTTAACTTCACATAAAGATATCACAATCAATATTTGCTTACAAGTCAAGAATGCCTTTTTCTTGTATAAATTTATGACACCAAGACCAAAATGTTATAAATATAAATATTAAATTTTTGATGCACATAAGAACTGTGTGGTAAGCATATAAATTGCCCTTTATTTTTTTAATTATTTCAATAATTTACTTTAATTTTTATATTCTTATATAAATTTTAAAAGTATTTGATAATTTTATACATTCAATTTTTTCAACTAAGAAATATTTTTTAATTATGAGGAAGCTGGGAAGTCTTCGAGCATGAATTGTAGCTGACGAAAACCAATCATTTTTTTAGGTGAATGGCGAAAATGAAATAAATTTATTTAGAAAATTAATTGGACTCAATTTATTTCAACTGTCCTGAAAAATTACCTTTTTTGTCAAGCATATTGATAAGCCACCAACAAATTTTTATAATCGGACATGAATCTCAAAGTATGACTTGAAATTTAAGATAAATTTTTAAGCAAGGGATATTTAAACTTAAGTTGAAGGTCATCCAAAACCATATTTCAGTAAAGTTATAGTCCAATTGACCGACTTGACTAGACGAACTCGACGATACCAAAATTGGTCAAATATGAGTCAAATGAAGCCACCACATCTAACTCCAACAATCGTCCTTTGGCCACCATCGGCTGACATCGGCCGCCGTCGATCGACATTGACCACAACTCTCTCCTTACAACGAAGTCCATTACAAAGCAATATCGTGCACAATAGAATCCTGATGTACATTACAAAGTTATGCACCCTGGATACGATGCAATGATACACCCTGAAGATGGTGTAACAACACACCCCATATACAATGCTACGATGTCTCTCGAAGAAGGTGTAAAAATGCACTACAAATATGGTGTAACAAAACACCCCGATAATGGTGTAACAACACACCCCATATATAGTGCAACAACTCTCCCCGAATATGGTGTAACAATGTAACCTAAATATAGTGTAATGACACACCCTGATAACGCTATAACAATGCATCTCACCTACAATGTAACTATGCACCTAAAAGTTGGTGGCCTTTCTCGAGATTTCTATAGTTCTTACCTTTCAGCTCCTGACTCCGACCCCAGCGACCTATGTGGTCCACAACTTGTGCTGCTCTCAACCTTAGCCTTTGTAGCCCATGGATGTCGTCATAGCTCACCACCATGACATAAGTGACCAACTACGACATATATGGATAGTTCACCATCATGTTCTACGAGACCAACTATGACTTACGTGGCACACAACTCATGCAACTTCCAACTCCTTCCCTTGTGGCCTATAGACGTTATCACAACTCATCACCACGACTTACATAACCAACTACAACCTACATGGATTACAACTCGTGCAGCTCCAGAATATAACCCTTGCGTCCAATAGATGCCATCACAGCTCACAACTATAGTTGACATGCAAACTACACTCAAAGTGGTTTACAAATCATGCAACTCCCCACTTTGACCCCACAAATTACGAACGTCATCACAACTCACTACTACGACCTACATGACTAAGTATGGACTACGTGGTTCACAAATCGTGCAACTCTTGACTCTGGCCCTCATGTCCTACATTCATCATTATAGCTCACTGTTATAGCATACGTGACCAAATTCAACCGATGTGTCTTACTGCTCGTGCAGCTCTCGAGTCTTGTTTTTGAGGTCTACGCATGTCATCACAGCTCACCACTATGGTTCATGTAACCAAAAACAACCAACTTAGCTTATATCTCGTGCAGCTTAATGTTGTATCTTTTGTTGCCAACAAATGCACCAATGCTCTTGAGGTAATCAGTTATGTCTTAACAATCAACTACTATCATGGTTTTCAACAACGACTTATACGATAAGCTAGCGCCAGGAAGACCATCAATAATATTTTCGACAGACTAATGCCTCCATAGAAATCAACTATCTATTACCCTTACAATCAACTATTACCAAGAACTACATTCATTACAGCCAGACTACGATTATTATTGATTAACCACTGATGTACATTTACTATGATCATCTTTGTAACTCATCTTCCCTAATTCAAGAGAAGAGTAAACTTGTATAATCAACATTCATAGTGAATTATTTCAACTAGGTCAGGTCTCATGATTTTTTCCCATATCAAGGGTTTTCTACGTAAAAATCTACGTGTCTCCTAGTTTGGTTCTTTTTGCAACTCAGAGTCGCTAGCCCGTGTAGTTGCCGTCTTAGGTTTCCATTTCCCGATGGGTCCTCTTATTTG